TTCTTTCACGTAGATCCTGCAATGCGTTTAGGCTATATTAAGTCACACTGGACTAAATGTGAATAAAATTGAACCCCGATTAAAAAATATATGCATTTGATAAATTCCATATTGCATTACGTTGCCTCGCCAAGATAGTCATGTGCACGGAAGGTGTTGTGATCCATGATTTTGAGCACGAGTTTGTGTTGATCATCATCTGCCAATGGAGAATCGACCCTGAACTCAAACTTCTCATCCCATACTGGGCTATTGCCTTTTCCTGCACATGCATTACGTTTTTCTGTTATTCTTTATCAAGTTTTTATTTAACGATTCCTCTACCAATGCTCTACTATTGAATTATTTATTAGCTTTACATAATGTCTATGAAATCTACGACGACCCATTTCAAATTTATTATTTTAAGTATTATGTTATCAATTAAGTATTATGTTATCAATTCGTAAAAACAATATTGAAGTTAAAAACTGGGACTTGAAATGATTTTAATTTCTTGCCATTAAGAGAACTTTTAGGTGGCATGTTGGACTGGGTATGTTTGAGAAATAAAATAAGTTAAATTTTGTATGTTGTGCCATAAATACAATATATGTTCTTTTGTTTTTGGAGAAATCTTCTCTCATGTCATTGTTTGTTTCGAATTAAAATCAAATTTTAACCTAAGTTAAAGTTAAACAATCAATATTAACCACATCTTTCATAGGTCCCACAACTTTTCAACCACATCTTTCAGAAACTTCTATCACAATCTACTAAAAATCTAATTTTAATTCCCACCAAACAACTACTTATTCCATTTCATGTTACATAAACTAAATAATGTTTATTATTCTAAATTATGGGATGAGAAGTAAGAAAAGATAAAATTAAACGAGGTCAAATCAAATTAATTTCCGTGCAAGTAAAGTAATATGTGGAAACAGCTAAGAAAAAATATTCCTCTTACTCAAAGATTACCTGTCTCTTTGAACACAACAAAATGTCAACGCATTTTATTTGTTATTTTTTTTAAAGAACTATTGAGCGTTGACTTCTATTCAACAAAATTAAAAACTCATATGATATTAGGGGTGTGTTTGAGCCACATTATTTTGGAAGAATGTATTTTGAAATAGTAGATTGATGTAGAATGTGTAGTTGAAAAATAAGGAAATATTATCGATGTGATGAAAAATATTATTTTATTGAAAAATATGTGATTAAAGATGAATAGAAAAATGATAATGAAAATTTTAATATGACTCAAACAGGGACTAGCTCATTAAGAATCAAACTCAAAATTTGAACTCGATTAATATTTTATTTCTAAAACCTTTTATTTTGTAATTTATATATGGGTTTATCCCCTTGTACCGAGGGGATGACCAAATGGTGTCCCCCCCTCACATGGGGCGCGGGCCCCATGTGTTTTTAAAAATGATGGCTCGTGGTCCCCACTTTCCAATATGAGTGGGGTGTAAAAGATTAAGTAAAAAATTATGTATATGTAGCATAACCCTTTATATATATTGTGTATGCAAGAATTTGGAGTTTACCTTTTGCAGGGGTGCTCTTGCACTCTTGATTTCTGTACTGAAGCAAAACATATGGATCGATTTTACCTGCAAAATAATATATATACACAATAAAATAACAGGATTGGCCATTTAAATGAGCAGAGTCTGTGAGATTCAACTTTAAAAATAATAATAATAATAATAATAATAAGAAAGAAACAAGAATTTAAGTGGGTTAAGAAAACTTCGTTGGATGGATTAATCTGTGAACATACCAACGGTATGTTTTGATGTGTTGATCGATAAAGACTGATATGATTAAAGAAGAGAATTAATTGGCACTGTGGCCTGTGCCAAATTAAATATATATATTATTCATCAAACGATATACCAACAAAAGCTCATCAAAAAATTATTTTTGGGTTCAACCCTTAAACTGGAGTTCAAGATGAGAAAACGAACTCAAAATTATTCATCATTAATAGTTTTTTTCTTCTAAATTTTCAAGAAATGAATGGTATATAGTAAACCCAGCATACCTGTAAGAAATACACACATACAGCCATATCCAGTTCTTTTGAGACCTTTGGCACCCACCAGCTTCACTTCCATTGTTCCAATCGCCATCTCTCTTCTTTCTTCTTCTTCTTCTTCTTCCTCTGCTTCTTCTTCTTCTTCTTCCTCTCTCTCTCTCTCTCTCTCTCTCTCTCTCTCGACACACAAATATAATAGATATATATATCTGTAAATCTATTATCACTTTTTTCTTTAAAGAGGTGGTTTGGGATAAAATGTTAATCTNATCTCTTCTCTCCTCTCTCTCTCTTTCTCTTTCTCTCTCTCTCTCTCTCTCTAAGAAGATGGATTCAAATTCTTTGTTTGCTGAAATTAAGGATAAAGAAAACGAGAATCTTTAGAGCAGTTTAATGCGTTGTAATTTATGATGTGGTAACTTCATTTGAGTACGTAAATACTGGCGGCTTAATTAGTTATAAATATAAAAAAGTTGAACAGTTCTTTCTCACCTGCTCACCTTTCGTCACAACTTCCTACCCGGTATCAAAAGTGTTTTTCTTTTGCCTTTATTTTCTTTCAACCTTCACTTCTTTTTGTATAGATTAGACAAAGATAGCATTAAATGATAAAAAGAAGGTAAAATTTATTTTATTTATTATATTATTGATGTTGGGAAAATTGTTGTCAAACGATCATCCGGAATATGATGTTAAATTGTTAAAATTTATTCAGTCAGTATCGATCAAATGACTGAACAAAAATAGACACCTCAATGAAACGACCCAACCCGATTCTAAAACTATTTGGGCCATTGAAAGTAACCTAATTTAATTAGTGTTGCTCATGACCCGTTTCTTGCTTATATGGACGGCTTATAAGTGTTGGCTCACTTAGTGATATACTTAGATCACTTATCTATCATATCATTGTACCCTAATATGAACTCTTTATATGGCTGCCTTCTTTGGTTATTCTTATTCGTGTAGTTGTTCCATTGCCTTTGAGAGAGAAACGACTGCTCCTTTCTTTGTGCTTGTGTCTACTGTTTTTCTTTTTCTTCCTTACCTTCGTGGCTGGCTTCATACTGTGCTTACACCTTCCTTTGTGAGTGATACAAAGCAACCATATGTGTGGAATAGTTGAGAGGATTTGGGTCGTTCTTCTTTGAGACGTTGATTGGTTGGATAAATTGAGCGCGGGAAAAACTCCTTGGCGACCTTCTCTTTCGCTTTACATCTGGTATCAGAGCATTGGTGTACGATTTTTTTCGGCCAAAATAGACCAATAACTGCCCATATCACAATTTTCTCAAAGAGGCCGAACCTGTAATTGCCGATTCCGGCAAATCGACTAGCCGGAGAAATGGAGGCTAGACCCATACTCAGTTGGCAGTCCAGGTGGTGCGTTTGGGTGGCGACAATTCTAAAGAAGCTCCCTTCGGACACATTGTTTGTTTTATCATTCTAAACGTACCAATATCGGTAATTTTTGGTTTCAAGTTATATAGTAAATTTTGGACAGTTTTGTCCTTGGATGCTTGGCTTGTGATCTTTGGTCAATTGTGTTGGTACATTTGTTGAAATTTTAAGGCAAATAGTGGTGGTCCTAAAGCAGCAAATTTGCATCTCTCAATTTTTACGGACATTTAGACATGGTCCGTTCTCGTAAATTGACTTATCTCGATTAAATTACAGTATTAGCGTGTTATCATGTGGGATGAAAATATGATTGTGATTACCGTGTAGGGTAACCAATGCCTGTGCTTGAAATTAGGAATTACTTACTCTTAAGTGACTGAAGTATTTATTTGATAAAATCAGTTTATTATCTTTGTGATATACTGTATGTGAAACTGTTTGGTTGTCATATCTCATTGTTGCATCGTTAAATTCTATTAAGAATACATAGACCTAACCTGTTTGAACATTCCCTTGATATTGAGATTGCGAATCTTACGAAGCCCTGGAAATCTAAAACGATGTATATTGTCTGCAACCCTACGACTATTTTGTGTGGCTTAAATTTTTATTGATTTGTAAAAATGACATCTCACAATTGATTTGAGAATTTTTAATGGAAAATGTGAGTTTTCAATATAACAACAAAAAATGAGATGTATTTTGATTCAACAAAATGTTTCAAAGGCCAATGATGGCAATTTGTCTGTCAATTTTTAAAAGAACAAAATGAAAAAGTCAATGAGCTTGCTTAGAGTTCAATCATTTTACCCGATAGTCGAAAACCACTTAAGAACTTTGAAAAAAATTGGAAAACTTGTATTTGCTCTAAACAAGTTTTACTTATTTGAGCGTTTTCCAGTTTTAAAATGGATCCTTCAATGGATCTTGACGACAATTTAGATGTTTTTAACAAACTTGTTCAAGATATTGCTAATTGTGAAGATATGGTGTTTGAAACCTACAAAACTATAATTTTGCTTAATTCTATTCCGGCACTTATAAGGAAGTTAAAAATGCAATCAAGTATGATAGGGACACTTCGATCCTGAAATTGTCATTAACTCACTTAGAAGTAAGGAGATTGAGATTAAAGTTGATAAACATGATAAGAAAGGCCATAAGATTGGCATAGTGAGGAGTAGAACTCAATTTAGACAAAACAGTTATGATAGTTTCCAAAGTGGTGGTAAGACAAGTAGTAATGGAGATAAAGAAGAAGGGAAACGGTATGTTTATATCAAAATCTAAGACCAAGGTTAAGAAATGCTATGAATGTTGGAACACGGGGCATTTTATAAAGGATTGTTATAAAGAGAAAGGTAAGTTAAAGGGTAAACAGAGAGATGAAGTAAATGTGTTGTCTTTTGATTCCAATGTTGATGATGGTAAAGTGTATGTGATTACAAGTTCTATTGCTTATCTGCTGAATTGAATCTAACTGTTAATTTTCGTTTACATAATTGGATACTTGATTCTAGTGTATCTTTTAATGTAATATCACAAAAAGATTGGTTTGAAAACTTGCATGAATCAAATGATGAGCATGTTGTGATGTGTGACAATTTTGCTTATACTGTTGTTGGGATTGGTGATATTACCCTGAAGTTTGATATTGGTTTTGTGTATAGTTTAAAAGATGTTNCTGCCAATTCTCATTTGCTTAAGTGGATATTTGATTTTTGGTGCATTTTTCATGTGATATCATAAATAGATTGGTTAGATAACTTGCATGAATCAAATGATGAGCATGTTGTGATGTGTGACAATTTTGCTTATACTGTTGTTGGGATTGGTGATATTACCCTGAAGTTTGATATTGGTTTTGTGTATAGTTTAAAAGATGTTTGATACATTGCTAAACTGTCTAGGAATTTAATTTAAATAGGGAGATTTGAGAAAGATGACTTCACTAGTAAAATTGAAAATGAAGTTTTGAAAATGGTTAAGTGTGCACTTGTTTCCATCAAGAGAACTAGCAAAAATGATATTTATATCACTAATGGAGAAGTGATAAAGGGTTTAGATTTCTCTATCTCTTCTATCAAGGCTAATACATAAATGACACAACAGACTTGTATGTGGATATTAAGGGGTTTAAGCTTCTTAATGAAAAATGTGACTTTGGTAATGATTGTGTGTCTAATTTACTTGTTTGTAATCATTGTGTGCTTGGTAAGCATCATGGAACTTATTTCTCCACGAGTGTTCATAAAACTAAAAGCATACTTGAATATGTTCATTCACACTTGTGGGGTATTGCTAGTAATCCCACATGGGGTGGANCTGCCAATTCTCATTTGCTTAAGTGGATATTTGATTTTTGGTGCATTTTTCATGTGATATCATAAATAGATTGGTTAGATAACTTGCATGAATCAAATGATGAGCATGTTGTGATGTGTGACAATTTTGCTTATACTGTTGTTGGGATTGGTGATATTACCCTGAAGTTTGATATTGGTTTTGTGTATAGTTTAAAAGATGTTCGATACATTGCTAAACTGTCTAGGAATTTAATTTAAATAGGGAGATTTGAGAAAGATGACTTCACTAGTAAAATTGAAAATGAAGTTTTGAAAATGGTTAAGGGTGCACTTGTTTCCATCAAGGGAACTAGCAAAAATGATATTTATATCACTAATGGAGAAGTGATAAAGGGTTTAGATTTCTCTATCTCTTCTATCAAGGCTAATACATAAATGACACAACAGACTTGTATGTGGGTATTAAGGGGTTTAAGCTTCTTAATGAAAAATGTGACTTTGGTAATGATTGTGTGTCTAATTTACTTTTTTGTAATCATTGTGTGCTTGGTAAGCATCATGGAACTTATTTCTCCACGAGTGTTCATAAAACTAAAAGCATACTTGAATATGTTCATTCACACTTGTGGGGTCCTGCTAGTAATCCCACATGGGGTGGA